AGTGACCATTCAAACATTTTACTCCTCTTGCCCTGGTGAGTGGATTATTGCCGGAGATTTAAATAAATACAAAGTGGATGCTGAGTGTAACAAGTTAGGGTAAATTTTGGAATTTTGGTGGATGGGGGACCATAATATTGGGTAATTATATTCAGACCATGATCTTTATTTTCCCACCACAATTTAATTGTATTTAAAATTCTTAATATTTACTCATTGTTGCACTTATATCTCTAACGATTTTCATCTTATTTTTATCTTCAATTTTTTTTATTAATTAACACATTTTGTATTTGATAACAATTTTATGTCCAAAAATTTATAGAAATAACGTAAAATAATTTTATTTTCCATCATATTTCTCAAAAATTAATTAAATAATTAAACGTGTGAAAAAATATTTCTCTCTCATATCAAAGCATGAAATATTTTAATATAAATTGTCATTGAGGACAAGATGTACTAATTAATCAAATGTTGAAGATAAAAACTCAACGAAAAAAAGTTAAGAAAATAATTGCTACAATGGGAAGAGTTTGAGGAGCTCAACTGCAATTAAATTGTGGTATATCAAATGAAAATTGTGGTAACAATAGAGTCATGCTACTCTTACATCCTTGGTACACAATCTTGTACACATCCCCCTCACATGGGAGTGGGGCCCGCGATTGTAGGCCCCACGCGGGCCCACCCCCATGTGAGAGGGATGTGTACAAGATTGTGTACCAAGGATGTACACTTATCATTAGTGGGTAACAATATAATCATCCAAAAATATTTTAGAAATGAAAGAATAAATTAGAGTGTAATTGACACAAAACATTCTAATGGTTTATTCTTTGTGTAAAATGTCATTTTCTATCACCTGCCACCTGACATTTGGAAGAAGCGTAAATAATGGTTTAAATATCGAAAATAAGACGATAGAAACGGTTTACGCAATAAAATCTATCGATTTACGCAATGAAGTGTGAGGACAAGATCATTTTGTGTCAATTATTCTAAAATGGACCTATTTTGTCAATTTGTGGGCCGTGCTAATTTTCACCATCTTGTTTTAANNGCTAATTTTCACCATCTTGTTTTAATATACTTGCATTAAAAGTTTTTAATATTTACTTTTTCTTGTACTTGTCTTATACGTCCCTCACATTTTTAAATAAGCAAAAATAGAACAAATATGTGCTAATTAAGGTTGTCGATTTGAACATAAGTATGATAATAAGAAAAAGATCTTTGATGTAATAAAATGTGGTACACTTACAAAAATTAATTAATGTTGAACGTCTGTTGCACGTTATTATAAAATGCTTTATAAGTTTTGTAAAAGTAATATTTGAATATTTGTGAATATTAATTAATTTAGAATTAATAGCGGGGAATATATACGTAATAATGAATGTTAAATTATATATTTAATTTTTAATTTAGTAAAATTGGATGTCAATTATCATAAATTGACGTAAATAATGAAATGTATTTTTGAATGTGAAATTTTAATTACTGAAATGCATAAATGAAGGTGAATATTAATCCTATTTGAGCCTCATTTTTTTTATATAGAATGAATTTTGAAATAGTAAATTGACGGAGAATGCGTGGTTAAAAATAAAGAATTTTTTTTTTGGGAATGTGTATAATATTATTTTATTGAAAAATGTGTGGTTGAAAGAAAACATAGAAAAATGTATTTTGAAAAAAAAAATGGGGATCAAACAAGGGCTAAATGAATATGATGTTAATTATTTAGGAATTAATAATAAGGAATTCATTCATTAGTGAAAACACTGGTGAAATGAATATGTCAATTGTACGTGTACAACTGTACATTGATGGTAACTAAATAATTAAATAAATTAAATACATATTAAAAAATGAAAAGTAGAGTATTATTGAAATAATTAAATTATAACTTGCGTGATATTTAATATATTATAAATATAGTGAGAATAAAATACATTTTTATTAAATATCCGTTGAAGGATAAAGAAAAATGTCACATATTTTCTTCCATAATAAAATTTTTATTGAACTTATTTGGTCTCAAAAATTCATTTCACGTGTATATTTTGTTTGGCGAAAATTTTGTTACTAGGCAAGCGGGGCTGCGGGAGCAAGGAGCATGGGAGTACCAAAGAAGAAACAACAAAAACTGCATTCTCTTTTATCAACATTGCTACAATGACATAAGGGACACGTGTCAATACATGATTGAATGATTTTAAAAAAAATACACACACACACAACATCCAATCTTATCCTACCACAACACCCTGTCACCTCACCTTCGTCACTGACCCTGGCCAAGGAGCATTATTCTTCGTCTAGTTTGTTAATTTTGATTTTCTATTTTATTTAATTCAGAATAACGATATCATTTTCTTAAATCTCATTTGTTGCACTTTTTCTTAAAGAATGTGAACTAAACCAAGGTAAATTGAAGGAAATATTATTCCTAATTTCCTGAATACAACAAATTGACTGAAAATATCAAATCTATTTATAGATATTGTATAAAATCTTAGAATAAATAGGCATCTCAAATAAATTTACATTATATTTTTACAATCTGCTATGTGAAAATTTAGCCCATTTTCAACCTTATTTTCAAAAAATTCATTTTTCTCAAACTCATTTTCAATAATACATTCTTCCAATAATTTTATATATTTTTTTTTGAATTTTTTGTCTTATACCCAATTTTTTTTATTACTTTTTAACCATATATTATCCAAAAAATCACTACTATAA